GGTCATCATGGCAACATCATGCTCAAATCGAATAGGTATGAGGTTTGATATAAACCGGCGCCTGTACACGCGGAGGCAGCCAGGGAGACGCAAGCGTCTACGGTTGCCTCAGCGACGTGTGACGTAGTGCCTGATGCAACGCACCATGTGGTAGACTGCCGGAACACGGAAGTAGATGCGAGCAGGTCGGCGATATAGGTGAACCCGGCGGCAAACGGAAATGCGGATCACCTGTAAGTGAGTACCCTGTAATTTAATTTGTATTGCATGTCCTTTATAAGCTTGTTTCATTTTAATGTAGTTTGTGTATCCTGATGAAAGCTCTGTAAGGGAGTTGAAACGTTGATATTATTAATAATAAAGAAGATTATCCTTTGGAAAACCTTGGAGTGCCAGTATTTTTTCGGTATATATATATATATATATATATATATATATATATATACACATACATATACATACACACACACACGCTAAAGAACATTTATATAGTGTATATTTTTGTATGAAAGAAAAATACTGAACAAAGTAAGAAAAGCCGTAAGACGTCTTAATGTAAAAATATTAAAGGGAAACCTTTGTCAAAAATAATTCTTCGTGTATGATGCATTATATAGATAATGAAATGAAACAATTAAATGAAAACTATACTCACTTTCAAATGTCTGGAGCTGAATAGTTTGAAGAGAGTATGTAGCCAAAAACAGACCCCTCTATCACCATGAAGACTTTCAACCAGTTAGAAGCCCCTCTCAGCAATAATAGGGTGTATGGTACTCTCCGCACTACAACAGTTGCAATCACGCAAATCTGTTATTATGATTAGACGCTTTATAGAAGAGCTCATGACGTTTGGAGTAATTCTTTAACTTCATGATGCCGACAGACGGCCAATGATGGCTTTTTAATACATACCTCCCTATTGTGCCTATTTTGAAAGGCTCCAATCCATCTGTCCCTCATTACTATTCCAATGTCTTTCAGGTAGCTCCATATTGTTGGTGTATCTGTGTGTATAACAGAGCTCCACAGCAATAATACTCCCAGTAATGTGTCTGAGTGTATAACAGAGCGCCACAGCAATAATACTCCCAGTAATGTGTCTGAGTGTATAACAGAGCGCCACAGCAATAATACTCCCAGTAATGTGTCTTTAAACTACAATAAATGTGTTTAGAAATCAGGCTGTGAAAACAAGACGCATGGTTATTGTTCTAAATTACAGTTCAGTTGCATTAATTAGTATGTCACCTAAAATTTATCAGAACAGCCCCATCCCCTGACCTTACCCCATTCACACCCCTAAACTTAAAGTGTCCCCCATTTTAAATGTTGAGAGTTATGCAAGCATATGTTCTCGTCTGCTTCTGTTATTCACTTTGATGTGATGTAAGTAGAAATTCTAACCAAGGGGTAGATATAGTTTTAAAATATCTGGGTATATCTTCCATGTTGATTTCTCATTCTGAAGGCATGCAAAGCATCATGGGAGTTTTAGTTCTACAACATCTGGGGAATCTACCTCTTAGGCAGCCTTGCTCTAACTGAATACGTAGACTTGCATGGTCAATTTATTATCAGGAAGCTCCAAAAATACTAAACAAAAACAAACAACTACAACAGCAACAAATTTAAATCTGCTCTACATAATCTACATAATCAGTGGTCCCATTAAGGTATCCTGTCAGATACGAAAACGAAAAAAATAAGTTGATTTATTTACTGAGCTATGAATTGTGGTACACTTACAATGATTTTGTAAAATCTAAAGTTACGGTATGTAATATGGAAAAAAAATGGTGATTTAGAGAAATATTTCTACCCAGTCATTTTGCTGTAATATGTAATATGTGATAATATTTCCTTGTAACTGCGCCACAATTCACATGATATGCACATAATCGCCTTTTCGGCATATCCAGCTTAACCTTAATACCCATGCCAAATAAAACACAGACTACCATTTTGACGTTGGAAAATTTTGTCCACAGCTTTATTAACACATCTTATAACATAAGGTCATTGCCAACCCTTAACACACATACTAAAATACCCCTCTCCCACCCAAGGGTAATTGAAACCCTGTCAATGACCCCTAAGCATGAGCATAAACCATAATAATAATCACACAACATACCAACCAAGTGGCATGTTTACCAATATACCGAGATACCCCTACACCCCCAGATTCGGAGCCACCGACGAGCTCAAACCTACGAAACCACTGTAACCCCTGTGAGTATTTTCCACTTAAACTAACCCTGCATGTTATTGACTCCCTTTATCCCGCCACAGCTCAGGTCTTCACCACCTCAACCCACCTGAGCACCACCACCCAGGAAAATAGCGCCTTACTGATACCCTCCTGAAACCCAAGGTTAAGTAGATCATTCCCCAACTCTGAGAGATGCACCCCATCTGCCCAATAATACCCATGCAGCATTCCTTCCAGATCCCGATGCCTCACCACAACCCTGCCTGTCCGCCGTATGAAAACTGACATCGTCTTATTGACCTTCCCCCGGCACCGAGCCACCGCGGCAAGGTCCCTAGCATGTCTCCAATGCAGCCGAGGAATCATCTCGGACCACACCACAACCACTTCGGGAACCAATTCCCGTATCCGGTCCACGTCTCTTCATTAGCTTCACTAACTCCCTCTGGGGAATAAACCCTAAATCATTCCCACCGGCATGTATCAGTCTAAAGTTTGGGGATTGACCCATTCTCAAAATGTCCTTGCTCACACTTGACCAATTTCCACCCCGAAAATCGATCCATCACAGGGAAACCACGACAAGGGAAAACCAGCTGCATTCCATGATTCCTAACTACGGCTCTCCGCAGATGGATGGATAGATGGATTAAGTGGCTGATCAACCATGCCACCCAACCTGTAATGAGAACAAGAAACGTAACCAATGCTAGACAAAATCCACACATAAACATCCCCTACCACTTTAAACAAGCCGATGAGGACGTATGTAAGACCCAGAAATTCAGCCGTGCATGAAGCAGGACATAGAGCCGAAGCTGGCAAGGAAAATAACCTGACCCAACACACCTTTCCAAACACGTCCATCTTGGAACTTCACAAAATAATCTGTACTTTATTCCGTGACAGCCCAACATTCTGCCTGCTTGTACCCCGCCAGCACATATCCTGCTTCTATTCACCAGTTCACCAACTTGGAACGCACCATAAAACGCCCACAAAAAAGCCACGGTGAACAACACCACCTCAAAAACAGAATAACACAGTAGGTAAGGCCCCCACCAACTGTTTCAGGACCTCAAAGGATACCGGACGCCTACTATCCCCTGAAGACTTGCCCTTCCGAAAGTCTTTAAGAGCCTGCCTAATGCCGAAATGTTTTGTCAGGTCTTCCAATCCATTCAACTTGAAAAGGAACGCCAGTGCCGCCATGGTCCGATCAACCGCCGATGGAGACGCCTGACCTGCAAACAAACAGCACGAAAACCCCAACAAATCCAACCACCCATCCCTGGAATGC